TATATATATATATATATATATAATTTTAGATACTGGATTAATTTTGTTAGGAGAGGCATAGTCATACACTAGTTTATAAACATGTACATCAAAATTACAGCAGTATATGAACCCTTATTGCCAGGGTAGTTTTGCATCATGCAAAAGGAGAGTTTCCATTGAATTATACTATTTTTCCATCTTCTTTAGCAGAGCTGCTTTTGCTGTATAGTCATGGGAACTTACCTTTGTAACATTAGCTATTCACCCTGGTAATTGCTCCATCCTCTAATTTAATGAAAACCCATTAAACCGAAACAATAATTAAAATGAGACATCATCTCTGTAGGAGGTTTGCATATTAAAATCACCAAGCGTTTCACTGGAGACGGGTCTTATTCTTGAGAAACAGTGTTTGAAACAACACGTAAAAAGTGATTTATAATGAATAATCATAATTTACAAAGCTGTGCTGTTGAACATGGTTTCCTACTGTTTATTACTGACTCCGAGAGGAGCCAGCAAGGCAAAAGCGTTTACAATGTCTTCTCATACAGGTGAGAATACCTAGAAGCAGAGATGGGCTCATGAGAAAACATTGTGCCCTCTTTGCTCTACCCTGGCAGCATAGTTTTTAAGAGAAGGATGAGGTGTTTTCACCCCTCTCTGGGTTGCTGGCAGGTAGGACATGCAGTGCTGGTCCCACTGTGCCAGTGCAGGGGGGACCTGGAGGGCAGCATGCTTCCTGCTCAGCACCTTAATATTTATTTTCTTTAGGCAGCATCCTAGAGCTTGCTAAAACCCATGCTTTAGCCTGGCTTAGAAGCAGTGTAGGCAAGTGGCAGGCATGGTGGATGAATTTGGGTCTGTGCTTAAGTGATGTCTAGGTATGCTGCTCTCTGCAGCTCGGTGTGGGCTGTCTTGAGCCTTAGTGCTGTTAGCCACATTGAGCACCCAAAATGCTCTGAGGGATATACATGGCTCTGTGCCTATTCCTGTGACAGAAGCATGGTGCAACGTCTTTTTTTGTTTGCATGTAAGGAGAAATTTGTGTGAATTTTCTTCTTACAGTTTATAATAAAAAATCTGTGCTACCTGCAGATAACTGCATTTTGCCCTTGCTAGACAGGGAAGCAAAACACTTCACAATTACATGAAGTGTTTCCCTGCTTGGCAGTAAAATGACTTATTTCTGGAGAAGATCCCCGTGGTTGGTGTCAGCATCCTTCTGTGAACATTTGGATCTGTTTGTGACTTGTATGGACTCAGGAATGGTTTTAGAGGAGCAGGAAGGAGTGGGCATCTGTCCATCTGTTTTGGGTGGGTGTTTGTTTTTTTTTTTTTTTTGACCAGTTGTTCGAAAGATGATTTGTGGAACCAATGTGTGTAAAGGAGTCTGTGCACAGGATCCCACTTGGACTCAGAGACTTTGATAAAGCACCTGCCTTCAGTGAGCAGAAGGGTTTTGTGAGGCTGTCATATGTTTTCATCCTGAGCAACTTTTAGAAACTGTCTGCACTGAGAGTTGCTAGTTTTGGATCCTCCTTCAGCTCTTGGTTCCATTTTTGGAAAGCTGGTGACTTAAAATGGGGCACTGTGGGGTTTTGTTTGTTTTTGGTTTTTAAACAGAGATTTCAGTTTTATTGGGTTTTGCCCACAGCAAAGTAAAAGCCAACATGCTGCAAAATTTGATTCTTTAAATGCTGTAGCGGCAATCCAGATTCTCTGTTGTTGTCAGATTAAATTCTACTTGCTTGTCCAAAGTGACTGTGCAAATGTTCTCCTGAAAGCATGTTGAAACAATTAGTTTTAAAGTGGTTGAGGGTATCAATAAAGCAATGTGTTCTGTAGTATGTTCCCTACCAAAGTAAGGAAATAAAGGGAAAAGATATTCAAGCAGGTGAGTGAATGATGAAACATAGTTGTTGCTTCAAAAAACATGAGTTCATTTAGAATTGGATTTTAGTATTTTTCTCTACTGGAAGCATCTCTTAAAAAAAAGGATTTTCCAGATGGATTTGGATTCAGCTTGTAAGAACTGGTGCATGTTTTTCATTGCCTAAAATTCCAGCAAGGTGCTGTGATCTTCCTGTGCAGATCCTGGCCAGAGTCATGCTGTGGCTGCTGAGCCCTTGCATGAGCATAGCCCTGGGTGCAGTTCCTCTGGTAGCTCCTTTTGGTGTGGTAGGGCTGTGCCGTTCAGGGGCTGAACGGGCTCGGGCAGGACAAAGCAGCCAGGAGAAGGCAAGGTGGTGTCACTGGGAATGGGGGAGATGGTGGTGGGCAGGGAAATGTGGGACAGCAGGTGCTCAGTGGGTTTGGCTGTCCTGGCAAACTGCACCATTGCTTTGTGTTTTGCACTTCTTTGGACCTTTGGCTTAAAAAAAGGAGTTACAATCAAACAACAAATATGCTCTGTTTTTGACATAGGTGTGTCTCTGCTGCTCTGTTCTGCTGAAGGTAGAAAGTTGCCTTTACTTGATGCTCTGAGGTGATTTATATCTGTTATACTTTCAAATAGCTGTATGTGCTTGCTTTTTTTTGTTGCTTGTTTTATTTCAGAAACACTATGGTATGTTTAAAAAAAACCCCTTCCAGACAGTCAGTATTTCAAATTAAGAAAATACAATCACATAGAAGGGCATATGAAAGTCGTATCTATAGTTATTTATTTTTTTATTTTGCTGAGATTGCGTTATCATTCAAGCATGAAGCAGTGTTTCACTGAAGATTACTGTATAAACCTATATTGTTCTATATTATGTAGGAAATACGACATTTCATTACAAGCAGACAGTTATTTTTATAGAGAGCATAAAAAGTGTTTTCCCTTTCAGGCACCTGCAGTGAAGGGGTGTAGGTATTCTCAATTTTTCTTTTTTTGAAGTGTGAAAATCAACCTGAAAATAGAAAGCTCTTACTCTAAATGGATCATACTCCCAGTTCATTTGTATGGTACTTCCTGCAGAAATTGAGCAAAACACAAACAGATGACACACTGGTAAATCGTGTGGCATGAGGAGGGGCGCTGCCAGAGAGGTGCTGGGGGGCTCTCCCATGGGTCATGGGAGCGGGGGTGGCGCGGTGCTGGCTGGACCATGCTCTTGGTGAGGCGTCACGTGGCTCCCTCCCAGCATTGGGACCCCAGTTTGCGAGCCCAGAGGTATGCTCAGCACCCCGACAAGTTTATCATCTCCGTAATGCCAGCTCGTGTGCCCTTTGGATCCTTGCGAGCCTCAGGGCGCTCCTCAGTTTATGAGTCCAGTTGCTGGCTATTGGGTTGCATTTGCCATTTTGCCATTGAATTGTTGGGAAACACCCCTTGTTGTAGTTACTGAGGTTGAGTTATGAAGAACAGCATTTCTGTAGACATTTCTGCATCTGCAAGTATGTTTTCGGTTGTCTAGTGGCAGAGGGTGTTCCTACTAGGTGGTACCTCCTCAACCTGGTAATGAATAGACCTGCTCCAAAGAAACAGCACCATACTTAGATGTGTGTTAATTTTGGAAAGTCTAGTTATGTAACTTCCTTCATACAAATTGTGCGTGTGTTGCGAAGCAATATGTAAATATTGTTTGTTTTCTAGTAGTCTGAACCCAAGATTCTAGAATTTCCTAATTCCATTATCTATGGCATATATACATTTTAATCAACATAGAATGAATATTAGGTGTTGCATGTGTTTTTGCTAGTTTTGTGAGTATGAAGAGGTGGTAGCTTAGTAGAACACAATATTTCAAAGTTTATCTCTGACTGGAGTAGTCAGTGCATTGACCATTCATGATTCCAACTAAAGAATCCTATATTTTTGTATACATTTTGATGGACAGATGGCAGGATGTGGCTTTATATCTGTGTCCCCCTGTAAGGAGAAAATGGTAGACTTCACAAGGCTTGACTGAAGTTTTAATATATATGTGTACCACTGACAACACTGCCTATGCTTTCGTGTGAAAAATTTTTTGAAAGCTTTAGTAGGGCCTGTTGCAATAGGACAGGGGGTAATGGTTTTAAACTAAAAGAGGGTAGATTCAGACTAGATTTAAGGAAGAAATTTTTTATGATGAGGGCGGTGAAACACTGTCACAGGTTGCCCAGACAGGTGGTAGATGCCCCATCCCTGGAAATATTCAAGGTCGGCTTGGATGGGGCTCTGTGCAACCTGATCTAGTTGGAGATGTCCCTGCTCATTGCAGGGGGGTTGGACTAGATGACCTTTAATGGTCCCTTCCAGCCCAAACCTCTCTATGAGTCTATGAAGTCATATTTTATTTCTGGCAATTTTGATACCTTTAAGAAAAAAAATTTTATAAGATACTAAGGTTCTGATCCTTCAAAACAAGGATAATTATCTTCAACTGTCAGCTCTTGAACATTTTACCTCTGTGTCTTATTTGTGCTTTGGAACTTAGTACCAGTGGATTGTTTGTCTGTGTAGCCAGCAAACTGGATATCGGAGAACTTCCTGGTATATGGGACACGTGGTTTGTGACTTCTGCATCAGCTTTTTTTAAAGAAACTTACTGGTATTTATGACCAGTAATAACACCTCCTAGGTGGAGATAATGATAGAGATAATGAAATCTTATAAAGTCAAAATCTGGTCATCTGTGTTGGATCGTTTATTCCTCCGTTCTGCTTTTTGATGGCAGTGGAAATGATTTCTGTTCTTTGAAGCCTTATTCTCTGCTATGATAAAAGTTGCGTTGGACAGACAAATAGTTTGATGCTGTAAAGTGGGCATTCTATTTATTTATCAGGTGAATTTCAGCCTCTGGCAAAGATTTTAAAATTATGATTAGTGATTTGCTGATGTTTTATTTGCAGTACTTTTCAGAGGTGAGCTTTTCAGAATGCAAGTGTGTTGGGCATTCTGAGTGTGTTGGCTCATTTGAAGGCCTTTAAGCTGCACAGGAAAAGTTGAGACACCCAATTACAAAACATACTTGACATACTTGAATACTTTTTCCTTGGAGTTTAGTTTCAGTCCATGGCATTCCTTCAGTAGTTGCATTTTTGAGTTTCAGTTGTTTTTCAAGACAGTCTCTTTTCTTTCTGCAAAGCCTCATTTAATGACACAATTTTTTTTTTTTCTTTTTTTTCCTGTAGTGAAATTCTGAATTGTAAATCTCATCACTCCTTTGTTTGTTTGTTATAGTATTCGTGCTGGGCTGGATTCTTGGGATTCAGTAGAGTTATATGGTTTTCTGCCAGCTGAGAATTTGTGCCGACATTTCTGGCTTCAAAGTAAATCTTTCGAAAGGAAGTGCACTGGGCTTCTAATTGGTTGTGACATCCAGGCACCACAAGTGGCACAGGTCTTGCAAATGTGTGACAAAAGCCCAGCATGAGAGACATGGCAAGGGGTGGGAAGGTGAAATGCTATGATTTCTCCCTTTTGTCATTAATCATCTTTTGGAGTGATGATATATTGTGAATGAAAAGATGAAATAAAAATGAATGTGGTGGGAGACGGTGCGTTTGAATCTTAGAAGATCAAATAGGAGAAGGCATGCTGCTGCTTGGACATCAGCAGGATTAGTGAGACTGAAATATTTCTGGATCTGCCTGGTCAGACTGTAGTTTAATAAATATTGTATGAGCTGTCACGCTTTGCTTGTTTAAACTGAGAAATCCCTGAAACGATAGTGGATTGCAAGCGTGTCTTGTATTTATTTCTCAGGCAGAAGCACAGCCGTATAGCATTATTAGCAATAATACATCTCTGCCTTACACAGTGCAAGGACAGGTTTCCTCTGATGTACGATGGAGAGGTGGTAACGGAGTCAGTGGTAAAAACTGAAATTGGTGCTTGGTGAATTGTGTTGGGAGAGGCAGCGCCTGAGATTTCGCAGAATTTAGAAGCCTATTTATCTGACTGCAGCACACCTTATTTACAGCAACTTAATCTGCTCACAGCAGACACAAATGGCTCAGCATCCCGTTAAAAATTCTGTCAGAAAATCAGTAGCTGACCAGTTGTGAACTTGTCAAAGTGACAAGTGGGCATGCTGACAGAGATGGCATTTGGGTTTTTTCATTGAACAAATGCAGTGGTGGAGCATGGTAGCTGACTCTCAAAAATGAAAAATATTGATGGGAAAATGAAAAATGTAATCTGAATCTTTCTGACTTAGCATTTTTACTGGACTGTTGTTTCCCTCTTTTTTTTTTTCCTTTTTTTAAAATAAAATTCTTAGATACGGAAAGAGAAATCCATGCAGCACCCCATGTGAGTGAGAAATTAATTCAGCTCTTCCGCAATAAAAGTGAGTTCACGTTTCTGGCCACCCTGCAACAGAAGGCATCAACTTCTGGAGTTATACTGTCCATCCGAGAGTTAGAGCACAGGTAAGAGAAAATTGTTTCTCTCTTATAGCAGTAGGAACATAAAAGATACTGAGTGCTCAGTGGTCCATTTTGACAATGTGTTGAAATGGTAGATGTACAATCTGACATGTAAGTTCAAGCCTTTCTTCACAGTTTGCAATTTGCTACTTTTTGCTGGTTGTTTTTGTTATAGGAGGAATGCATTATTTGTGTATCCTGGTTTGTAAAATAAAGAATTTAAACCGAAAGATCAAACCCAATGTGGTATAGCTACAATGCACTTTGGAAGTTACAAACCTTGCAGTGTAATTTCCCTTACTAGTTTATCATATCCACTTTGGAGTTTGCTTTTTCGTAAAAGCTAAACTTGACATATTTCCTGCTTCACTATGTTTTATAACATCTTAAAATAGTATGTTTTATTTTCTGAGATTCAGCAATTAAGTTATTAAGCAATTAAGCTACTTGTGCTTCTGTATGGTGATGTGTATGTTTTCTTCCTTGCATAAATACAGTATATTCCTATTTCGTGTGTGTGTGTGTCTTTTTTTTTCCTCTTTTTTGTTGTCAGTGTAGGAGGAAAAAAAGAGATCTCTTAAATTAGCTATTATAGTGGTAGACATCAGTTTATTAAAAAAAAATAATTACTGTACCTTGTGTTACGGCCTGTAATACAATTCCAATGATGTTGTGATGTTTCAGAGTGTATGTTGTTTCAAATAGTCACCTACTTGTAACTTTGTGAATGCTTTTTTCATAATTTCTTAGGGCTTGAAGGACTTTCTATTGTAATACACATAATAGGATGTTCTTTGGTTGCTCCCATTTCAAATCTAATACCAGTTATTCTGCAGCATTTCTTTTGGGAAAAAAAAATCTTATTGGTATTTAATTTTGTTAGTCATGTGCATGATACACAACTGTTAGCCCTATTTCTTATGTTTTGCTAAGAAAGTATGTGAAGGAGAAGGCAGTGGCTTTAGTATGACCAAATTGTCAATGATGGCTTTTGCCAGTGCAAGAGGAGAGATGTCTGGACAAGGATAGCTAAGGGAAGGACTCTGCTACTTCCCTATTCTGTCGTCATATTTTTCTGTCACCTCTACTTTCTTATTGGTCTCTTTCTTTTACTTCATTCCTTTTCATTTTCATCTTTTCCTGTTTTCCTTTTCTAGCTCTATCATTCCTTTTGTCATTACTTTTTAATTCCTCCAGAATTTTCCAAACCATTGTAGCTCTCTGAAGTCATGGTTAACAGGATCAGTTTGTCATGTTAAGGAATTTTTTTTTTTTTCTTAATTTGAGAAAAGGGACATTGAGGAGAGCCATTGACAGAGGAATGCTGTCACATGTAGGGACGCATGCATGCACTCAGCAAAATCCAAGGTCAAACTAGACAGGCAGTGATGATTATACAGTGCAAGGCATGTGCATTTTTAGATACGGCCTCCTCTGAATTCAGCTACTTAACTCCTCTATCTTGACGGGCAGAGGCTTGTAGAGAGATGTGCTATGCAGGAGTGTTTGTGATTGAACAAAATATGTTGCTCGTGTCCTTCTTGTCACTGAGGTTATCTGTAGTATTGCAAAATAATAGGCATCTGATTAAAAATATATATCGTAGAAGGATTCGGTGCTAGTCTCACTCAAACTTCTGTAGTTCTGTGTAGTAACCGAGGTAGTTGAAGTCTGTGTAGTTCTATGCAAGAGTTGAAGCAGACATGTCCAGTGGTGCTAATGACTGCTGTTGCATTCCGAGTGTCAGATGGATTACTGCAGTTATCCTGCTTTTCCAGACTCATTGTTTATCACTTTCAAACAGAGTCACTATTTGTTTCTCTAGTTTCTGAAGTTGCTCCTTGGACCTTGATAAGGATGGTGCTCTCAAACCCTTAGGTCTGTGATGACAGAAATTGGTAAAGTAGATGACAGTGGGAAAAGTACTTTTTAAGACCGATGAAAAGTAGAGAGCAAAGATATGGGGCACTCCTGAAGAGGACCTTGGTTACATTATGATGAATGCAATAGCAGAACTTTCAGCTTGATATTTTTTTGGTGTTGCTCTAACTTCTCAGGTCACTCTTTAGCTTTGTGTATGTGCTGAAGTGGGTGCAGGTCCTTGACACGCTGGGAAGCCTTTTTAAAATTGTTGTTCCTACTAAGCTTTTGATAATTATCATGGTTCTGTTCTGATGACATCCATTTTTTTTTTTTTTTATCAAGCTTTTTTCAGCCTTCCATGTGTCTTTGAAAACAGACAATGCAGAGAGAATAGTAAGAAACATCATTATGTTTCAGCATGATTGAGACCTATGGGAACAACTATAAGGGTATGTTTATTACCTAACCAGTATAGTTTTTGACTCTGGAGAAGCCAAGAGCTCTTCCCTTATGCACAAAGCAGGTTATATGGTAGTTAAGGACATAATGGTTTTTAACTTCCGAGCATATACCAATATATATATGCACCATATATATTCTAAGTTACATATGCCACCATGACTTGTTCCAAAGCCAGTTTTGCATGATGTGTGTAGTGGAGATGATTTGTACCATAAGGTACAAGTGAATACTTACGAGATAGTAGTACATAGAGTGCTTTGTATTTTCTTTTGCTAGTAAGATTTAGCAGGAGTTTATTTTCCATTAATATAATGAAACTCTGAAACTAAGATATGTAGGATATTTTAGAAATAAGTAGGTAAGTGGATCTTAAAGCTTGACGAGTAACAAACAAAAATACAATATAAAAGGTACTAAAATAAGATGAATACAACTTTCCTTGAAGTTGGTAATTCAGATATGCTGTTTTTGTTGTACTAAATGGATATTTTGCAACAATTAGAGATTTGCTATTTATTTATATCGTCATTTGATGGACAGGATTTATGCTACAAAGATGATAAATACCTCTTTGTTAATATTTTTATCTTGTTGAATCAGCTTAATGATGATAAAGACTTTGTTTTCATGATCCAAATGTATTAAAATACAGCTTGGAAAATGGAAAGCTTAATTAACACAGATTAAGTCTAATTGAACAGTCTGATAGCATGTGCAGACTGTGTACATAGTTATCTGGAATACAATGGTAAATCTAAAGATTATAATTTTTTTTTTTCCTAAATGATAAATAACAAAATGTAATACAGGATGGACAAACTTGTTACTTGGGGATGCATAATGCAGAAACTACTTTCTTTATTGGAGGATTATGCTAGCCAGTTCTTCCAAGAAGATCTTTGTGAGCTGTTTTGCTCACAACCTTTTCCTCTTCAGACCACCAAGACACTTGGAAAAGACCATCAAGATATTTAAAATTGCAGCCATAATGAATCCTTATTCATCAGTGATTTAATAACTGGTTTCATCCAAAAGCTGTCTTCCTCCTCATTACCTGCTCTGGCCTTGCATGGTCCAAAGCCCAAGAACATAAATTACCTTTGTGCTGTTTCCCTGCTGGGTTGGTGGTATATTAATAGTTCCTTCCCACTGATGGCCAAGATCAGTATCTGGAGAAACTCTCAAGGATGTTCAGGTACCCAGGCTAGAGTTCTTTGAAATACTGGCTTTTGCCAAAGGAGCTGACTTTGATTTCCTGACTAGTCTGGGGCACAATTTAAAAGCAGCTGACTGCTGTAATACTTTTTTTTTCTCATTGATGCGAAAATTCCTCCCCCCTCCCCCCCGCAAAAAAAAATAATTAGCCATAAACTCCTCCTGTACTTTGTCTGTAAAACAAATGAATTATAGTGGGTGGGAAAGGGAAGGATTTGTGTACTTTGAATACGTTCTAAGGGTTTTGGTGCTTGGAAACAATGGGTAAGGCACCTGGAAAAGAGTGGTGAGCTTTCTTTTGGTGAGTAGTCACCCCACTGACTAGTTTATAACCTTTTCAAATAATTTACTGCTCAAAATGTCAGTAATGACCTTTTAATTACTTGGGGTTTTTTTTGGAGGTAGCCACCATTGAACCATTACTGACGTCTAAGCATGGTAAGCCTAAGGTATGAGAAAGGATTGCGTCCAGATTGTGTGGTTTTTTGGTTTTTTTTTTTTTTTTTTGTTTTTTTGTTTTTTTGGTTTTTTTTTTTTTTTTTTTTGTTTTTTTGGTTGTTGTTTTTTTTTTTATATACGGATCTGACCCTCCTCAAATCAGACGAGTAGCGCAAGTACATATCACCTGGGATTCTGGTACTTAGATAAAAGGAAATAAGAGGAAATACAGTCTTTACAGTGTGTTGCACTTAAAGTGGCAGCTGGCCGCTAAGCTGTCGGCTGGTCATGAAGTAGGAGGTGAAAACACTGGATCAGGTGTTCTTATCTTTCATCAGGCAAAATTCCTTTTGATTTTTTGAAAGTAGCATGCTGGGTATTTACTTGCTCTATAACAAGCTGCCCTCCAAAGAAAGACTTTTTTAACCATTGGTTTATTTTTGTGTAAAGCAGAGAAATTGGGTATTGTGATACAAAATCTGCAAAACTGAACTAGGAAGCAGAGGAGCCATTACCCATGTGAAACAGGATTATATCCTTATTGTTGCTTTTGTTACTCTCAGTGGTTACTAAAGAGGCAGGATGAAAAAGTGTTTTGTCAAATACCAAGTTGCTTATTCCTGCCTACTTTTTTGTGTATCCCCCATGTCTGTCCTCTCTGTTTGCTTCATGTTTACTAGTACTAGCTTTATACCTATGTGTTGTCATTCTTTCTGAAGAGTGTGTCAGAAGGGGAGATCCCACCATGATAGAACTAGGAAGGAAGCCATAAGGTTAATGTTTCTAAGATTTTCTTACAGGGAGCACTAAAATATTTATTTTTTCTAAATCTTCTCAGATTTGTTTTCTTTTTTTCTTTGTTTTTTATGGTTATATCCCATGTCTAGGGCCTGAACTTCAGAAAATTTATGCCATGCCACATATTTGGAAACTTGTAAGCTGATTGTATTGCTATGGTGAAATGGATTTATTGAGTGGAAAATTTGGCCCTTCACTGTGTAACACCAAGATGTGTTGATATAAAT